CGCTACCGCTTGAGCCACATCCCCAGCCCCGAGGGGTGGGGTTCTGAAGCCAAGCTGCGGTGGGGCTCTGCCAGGGCTCTAGGGGAATCTGCTCCTGGCCTCTCTGCGGCTTCTGGTGAGCACTCCTGGGCTGTGGCCACACCCTCCTGGCTTGGGTGTCTCTGGGCCGTATTTTAAGAAAACTCCAGGCTGGATTTAGAGCTTTACTGATCCAGGATGATCCCACCTCCCCATCTTGGCCTTAACTGCATCTAGGTAGCCCTTCCTCCCAACAAGCCGCAGGTGGACGATGCTCCTGGGCCATTCAGCGCACCCAGGAGCCTCAGACACTGTGGCCCTCCCTTTCCCTCACAGATGGAGAAACCGAGGCTCTGAGAGGCCAAGAGCAGGCCCCAGCAGTGGAGTCAGCTCGCGACCTGTGCATGGGACCTGGGCAACCCATGGGTGGGGACTGTGCACTAAGTCCTCCAGGCTTCTTCGTGTGGCTGGTGTCACCAGGCGCCTAATGGTCTGAGCACAGGGCTGGTGGCCTGTGTCCACCCGCTCACACACCTGGGCCCAGTGTGTCCAGAGAAGAGGCTGGGGTTGGAGGACGAGGGGTGGGCAACTCACAAGAATGCAGAGCTGCCAGGACGCCACTTCCTAGCCCAAGGTCACAGCTGAGGTCCCATCAAGGACAAAGCAGAGTCCACCGACTCAGCMACAGGCAGTGGGGACCAGGGGTGCTCTGTGTTCCTGACTGTACTTCTAGCTAGGAGCAGCTGGCTCAGCCAGGACCCTGGACCCACCAGGGAAGAATGCGGAAGGATGACGGCCACATTCCATGTCTGGGCCGGGAACACCTGGGGGAGGCGCCCTGGGGCCAGTACAGGCAGGACACCAGAGAAAACAGATAGTGAGGACCAATTTGTCTGCTGGCCCAGCACTGACCCCTGGCTCCATCCCTGCCCCAAGGCCAGGAGGCAGCTCAGGGCTGCAGGGTTGGATCCATCCCCAGATACCAGCAGCTTTCCACTYAGCGCTCCCGTGTGCTGGTCAGAGGTGCAGACAGGAGGGAGCCCTGTCCCCTGGGCTTCCCAGAGAGGCCAGGTTGGGAGCCAGTGGGCCATGACTCTGACCTCTGCCAGCACAGCCCCTCCACCACACTCCACAGCAGGCCTTCATGACCCTGGGGCCTGTTGTATGGAGTGCAGAAGAGAACACACGGTCCCCATGGGCCCCTGCCGGGAAGGCTGAGGTTCCTGAACCTGATGGGACATGGAAGGAGCTGCTGTCCAGTACTCAGAGCCTCACCTGCCAATGCAGCAGCCAGTGGCCACACAAGGCCATTTGCATCTAAAAGCAGACAAGTTAAGACTGAATGAAACTAGGGCCAGCTCCTTAGTCTCTCACCACGCAAGGCTAGTGGCTGCCACATTACAGCAGACAGATGGAAATATCCATTATCACAGAATGTTCTAGAAAGACGGCAGCAGACAGGGAGAGGCAGCACACCTGGAAACAGACACATGGACCCTGGGGCCACCTGAAATTTTGAGGAGGCCCTGCAGGGACATGCAGCTCCAGTAAAAGCAGTGGCCACCAGTAGGATGTCAGCTTCTGGGGCAGAACCCGTGTGAGGCCAGCTGGCTTGTGGCATGGGGACACATCTGATGCCCTGACCACCCGGCATGCACCCAGCCTTTGAAGCCTGGGGGGCAGCGGACTCACCGTTCTCCCGGTGCTGGAAGGAAGGAGAGAACTCTTTGGCAGTGATCCTGGCGATCCGGGCTTCCTCCTGCGCTTTCTGAGCCGCGGTGAGGGCGGCCTCAGCCTTGGCCCTCGAGTGGGAGGTCCTGGGGGAGTACGGGAGGAATGAGAAGGGGGACGGGAAGCAGAGGTGGTGGGGTTGAGGCCTCGTGCCCACGATCCTGCACACCCAGAAAGACCAAGAGCGGAGGCTGGGGCACTGCGGCTGCCTTCGGCCCTCCGGACCTTTCTCATTCATTCAACAAACACCACTGGTACCCATCCCCCAGCCCCGGCGTGTCAGATGTGCTGCAGAACGTGTGTGTTCTCGTTATCGACCAGCGTCCTGCAGGTGTGCACAGGGAGCCCAGGCCAGGGTGGTGCCACACCCCAGGGGCGCCATGACAGGGGACACCAGTGAGTCCTGCGGCAGGAGTGCCCCGATGCCCTCCTGTCAGCACCCCCCATCAACTCTGGCCCAGGACGACCCTAGGTGTGGGTGGGCGGGCTCCCCGCTGACAGAAGGAGACGCCAGTGCCCGTGTGACGGCAAGCAAGCCGGGCGGCGGTGGGCTGCCCCCAGCTCTGCTCTGGCGGCCTCTTCCCACTCAGTCCTGCAGGCTGGCCAAGGCCACAGTGGCCAAGGCACCACTGCCCCAGTCTGGAGACTGCAAGTCTAAGACCCAGGTGCCAGAGGCGCCACGTCTGGGGAGAACCCGCTTTCTGGCGCCCGGATGACACCTTCCCACTGTGTCCTTGCCTGGAGAAAGGGGCAGGGAACCCTCTGGGGCCTCCTCTTAGAAGGCRCTGATCCCCTTGTGGGGTCTGCACCTCGTGACCTGGTCACCTGCCAAGCCCTGCCCCTGACACCAGCATGCTCAGGACTGGGTTGGGCCTGTTGGGGACACACTGAGTCCTCTGAGCCCTAAGCTGCCTGCTCCCTCTCCCTGCAGCACCTGTCACTAGGGGCCCACGGGCTGAGCCTGGAAACCCTCGAATCCTGGGAGAGACCAGGTTTGCTCCCTTCAGAATCCCTCGGTGCTCACAGGAACGCCTGTCCTGGAGAAGGTGACTGTCATGGATGCAGACACAGAAATATAAACCGCCACCAGACATGCTCCCAGGAAATGACGCAAGGCAGAGGAGCCCGTGGCTCCCAGGCTCCTGCCCTGGCCCCGCCATACTGCTGGGAGGAAGCCCCAGAGACCCGGGAGGAGGCCCCGGGCCGGAACTTAGCGTTGGCAAGATTCTGTCCTCGCRTAGTTTTATCTCTTGGAAATGGGAGAATCTGTAATTTCTCAACATAGTTATGGCTGCATGTCCCATGGAATATGAGGACCACCTTCTAGAAGATTCCTTGAGAATCTGGTGTTTGTTAATAAAGCACTCATCAATACCTGACTTGCTATCTCTGATGAGCCGGTGTCRGCCATTGCTGCAGGCCTGCTGGGCGCAGATGATCAGCATGTGTGCTGATCCTGGGGCTCTCTGCTGCAGTCCCCACCTGGGGACTTTGCGGGACATCTACACTCACCCTAGTCTGGCAGCCTCAGGGTGGCCACCCCTGCCTGCCGCTGCTCAGTGCCTCCTCTGATGCCCAGATGGACAGCCCCACTAACCAGCAAGAGCAGCGGGGTGCCCTCAGGTCTGCAAGGTTGCAAAGTCAACAACGCATTGGTCCAACATGGCCTGCCCTTGGGGAGACACCAGGCCTGGCTGGAGCCTCGGGGAGCCTGGGTGGCCAAGGACCCAAGGCAAGCGATGCACCCCCCAGTTCACTGACCRCCCAGCCGGGCAGCCTCTCCCTGCCATGGACCCTGGGTCTCCTTGGCCACAGCGGTTTCACTGAGAAAGAACCCACAGGCCTGCACCCGCCTCAGGGTGGTTCCCAGGCACACAGAGCTGTGCCACTGTYCAAGGTGCTCCTGCCCCAAGGGGACCCGTGGCCTCTATCGGTCACCCCCTCCCAGCCAACAGTCCATTTTGTCTCCACTCATCCTGGAAACCTCATGCCAAATAGACTTCTTAAGGTTTTCTTTCTTTTTACTTTTCCCTCACCAAGTGGAGGTCACACGACATGGAGGGACACCACCCACTGGCCTGACCAGGTGGAAGTCACATGACATGGAGGGACACCACCCACTGGCCTTCAGCACACCAGGAACAGGGCCACGGGGCACAGGCAGGGTGTGGAGTCCCCACAGCCCCCCGGGGGGGGAACCGAGGCCCGTGGAAGTGAAGAGACACAGTGGGTTGGCAGGAGGTCAGGCTGCAAGCAGAGGGACTCGTGCCCGTCACTGCAGGCCCCGCTCGCCCCGGGAGGACGGGCTCCCTCTGCCTGCCTGTGGCTGCTCTCAGGTGGTACAGGGGCGTGCTAGAATCCCAGGGGTTGAACTGTGCCCCAGGACAGACACCCTGGGGCCCAAGCCCACGTGCCCACACGGGGACCTGGCTCGGGGGTGGCGCGGCTATCAGGGCAGATGCTGACCCCGCGTGACTGGAGTCCTCATGGAAAGGGGCTTTGGACCCAGGGTCAGACCTGAGAGGGCAGGCGAGGACACGGAGCCAGCCGCCACCCGGGAGGAAGGTCAGAGGTGGGGACAGGCTCTCCCCGGCCACTTATTTCCTGTCTGGTTTTGGCCGTGGTCTTGGCACTGGGGACTGAACCCAGGCACTCTACCGCGAGCCCCTGTCCCCCATCCTTGCTAAGTTGCCCAGGCTGGCTTCGGTGTGCTGATCTCCCTGCCTCACCCTCCTGAGCACTGAGGTCAGAGGCACGTGCCACCAGGCGTGGCCCCCAGCCTCCTGAAGACCACCCACCAACACCTGGGTCTTGAACCTCTGCCTCCCGTGCACCCCCGAGGGGGTGTGAACCCGGAGTGTGAGCCCCCCTGTGGGGAGGCCAGTCGTGTGTGGTCTCCACAGCAGTGTCACCTGAAGCCACTGCTCATCCTCAAGCCTCCCTGGGTCCCTGGCCTCCAGCCAGCCCCGTTAACCAAACTCCAGGGCAAAGAYGCAGAGTCCCCTGCCCGGTCAGGAGGCCTGGCCTCCCGAGACTTTACTGGAGACCAGGAAACTGTCCCCTCCCTGGATGGCCCAGGCAACCCGSCCTCCTGGAGGGAGGGGCAGACAGTCCCACACCGTGGGGGTCAGGGGAGCAGGCCCCGCCCCATGCAGATGCCCAGCCAGGAGCCCAGGGCGGCGGGGCCGACCCGGATCAGGACTCCCCAGGCCCTCAGGCCAGCGTCAGCCAGGGCAGATCCTGCCATGGCTCTCTGCAGAGCCAAGTGCCAGCCCAGGGCCCAGGATGGGCAAGTGCTCCCCAGGCTCACAGCTGGCCAGCCACTGGTCACAGCAGGTCTCCCACAAGAGCCCCCTTCTCTGCACCCCACACAGCTTGGAGCACAGCCACCAGCTGCCAGTGTCTGTCCCAAAGGTCCACGGAGCTGGACCTCCGACCACAGTGCTCCRGCAGTGATCCCCTCATCAGGGCTTCATGTCACCGGCCAGGTGCCGAGGCCAGAGACGGGAAGGCCTGGGTTTCAAGTCACTCGTGAGGCCATCTTGCTTGAGGGCCGAGCTAGGGACAGGTGGGGACAGACAGGCCCAGCCCGGTGAGGAGCTCTGAGGGGGGACAGCACAACGGACATCGACAGGGTTAGTGTGCAGGGGCAGCGGGGGGCTCACCCTGCCCAGGGAGGGCGTCCTGGAGGGGGCAGCAGTGAGAGGGTGGCGAAGGCCGGGGAGCCAGTGGGTGGAGGCCCAGGGGCTGGAGCAGGAAGGGCCAGGCCAGCCTCCGTCCACAGGGTCCCCCTCCTCCCCCAAGGCCAGCTGGGGGCCCTGGAGGGCTGCAGACAGGAAGGGACCAGCTCATGAGCAGTGGGCCTGAGAGGAGCCCTTGGCTGGCCGGGGATGGGCAGTGTGAGCTGCAGGGGCTCCCCAGCCGTGGCAGCCAGACTGAGGCGCTAGACACTGGCCCGAAGCGGAACTCCTGGGCAGCCCACACGAGTGGCCCCAGGCCCTTAGCACAGCAGCCAGGTCCCAGCCCTCCACAGCCAACGCCCCTCACGGGCCACCCACAGCACATGTGCCCTCACCCTGGACGGCACCTCATGGCCCACCACAGCGCGCCGGCCCTTCCCACCCCTGCCCAGCTGGTCCACAAGGACAGGCGGGGGCGGAATTGTGGTGGAGGGACTGGGGATGAGGCCAGGTGCGCCTTGCACCAGACCTTGTCATGTCTATTTCGACACAGGACCAAACCAACTTGTCCTGGCTGGCCTGGACCTGCCCCTGCTGCCTCAGCTCCCAGTTGGTAGGGGTCACAGGCGTGGCCACCTCATTCAGTGACCGGCAGGATTTTCAGAATATTAGGAAAGTAGAACCTGTCTCAGAGCAAAAGGAGCAGAACAGAAACACAGGTCCCCGTGCCATTACTGTGATGGCATTTCCCCATGCGCATCCCGGGGCGCTCCTGTGTCCGTCCCCGGGGGGCTCCTGTGTCCGTCCCCGGGGGGCTCCTGTGTCCGTCCGTCCCCGGGGGGCTCCTGCGTCCATCCGTCCCCGGGGGGCTCCTGCGCCCGTCCCCGGGGGGCTCCTGTGCCCGTCCCCGGGGGGCTCCTGTGACTAAGACCCTAGGAGACTCCCTTCAGGCCACGTGAAGGTGCGCGGGTCACAGATGAGCTGCGGATTCCCCTCGCCTGGTCTCCAGAGCATCTCGCTGTGCCGTGTGAACGTTTAAAAATCTGACAGAATCTGAATGAGTGGGTCCAGGTCCTCGGGATGAGGAAGGTCAGCCCCCCACCCCATYACGCTGAGGGCCCCAGGTCTCCCGCCCCCAAATAGCCGAGGAGCTTGGGGCGCGAATGCCACCCACCGTCATGTGCTCTGTCCCGGGTTTGTTCCCAGGACCTGGTGCTGTACCTCGGAGACGGTCCCAGGCCAGCCATCGCAGGCCACCTCTGGGGTGCCTCGGGTCATGGATTCTGCCCGAGCCGAGAGGGAGCAGCTCTGCCGTTTCCCGCCACCTGCAGTCATGGCCTGGTGACCTCGAGGTTTGACCTTTGGCACAAATCTGTCTTCAGGACCAGTTCCCAGAAGTGCGACTG